TCATTGTTTGCATTGATGGTACTCCTCTGAGCCTGCGTTAACTAACAGAGCATCACATCGACCAACAACACTACCCTCCATCTCAAAAAAAGCTTATATCCAAATATATTGTTACAGCAAACTTTTGTTTTAACTGACATCTTATGAACTGGCACTCTTGATAAACTGGTAAAAATTATATGCCTCAAATACCAAGTAGTCAGTTGAGGGGGCGAATGAGAAGGCTTTCTGCTGGACAGCTTAATTTATGGCAAAGTTGCAGTATTATTCAAGCGATTTATGCTGTAAATAAAGTATAACAGTGATGTGTATACCCCCAGCATTACATTTCTATTACTTAGTTTTTACATTGTTTATATGGACCTCTTGATCAACTGGCACACTCCTGGTCTTATCAGTGCTGGTTAATAAAAAGTTTGCTCGACAAAATTTCCATCGTTCTAGTTTACAAAAAGAAATGCAGGACATGAACACTGTGTCATGCAGGTCGCAGTCGATGGTTAATGTGCCGTCACTGTTCAGTTCTGCAATTGTGATTTGTTGCGATGGGAACCTTGTCAAAACTGCTGTGCCACCATCAGATATTTGTTGCCTCTGACAACGATTGAGCAGATGGAGACACACCAGGCTTCTGTACCACCAGCTGGGGTGCTGGAAGTATGCGTGCAACACGTTTGAAATGTTGCAGACTACTTTTGAACGCGCAATTATGCAGCTTATTTGTAGCCGACACTCTGATGGGAAAACCATTCCAAAGTCTCTGCTCAACCACAACAGCAACTTGCATTGAAATATCTCCTCTGTTGTCCCAAGTTGCTTCACAGGAGGGTAATCAGGTAAAGTTTGACAAGTGGCTGGATTTATTCACAGCTTAGGTGAGGGTGTAAAGATGAGGAGAAGGATCTTGTACTTACGTTGTAGGGAGACAAAGAATTGATGGCGCTTGGCAGGAGGGTGCCGGGAGCTGTGATCTGAGCTGAAATATCTGAAAAGCTGAGCCAATGAGGCAATTAAAAAAATGTGTTTGTGAATTCTGTCCTGGGGAGTGATGAAAGAATGATGAAATGAGGTGAGATGTGGCCATAACAGGCAGTGTTCAGGAGCTGGAATGATATGGTATTGTTAACTCATTGGAGCTGTTGGCGTGGAACTACGTTGAGTCTCAAATCGTTGATGCAGATTACGCAAGTTTTGTAACGGAAAAAAGAAATTGGCTGAATGAAGAGAATGATTAAAGCATGGAATCAATAACTGCCCCCAAGTCATGAAACGTGCCTCAGGTTGTAGATTAGTAATCACCAACCGTAGTTCTGAGGCCAAAAATAACTATTTACTATCTACATTCAGTATACAAAGTTTATTCACATTGATATCAAGCTTCTTTAGTGGAAAGTAAACTGTTGTGCAGGAATGAGTATACAGTGGAATATTATTAAAATAAATTAGCAAGCATTAGACAGATAATTGAAGCCCAATAAAAACACGAGTAAAAATGCCTTTAGGAAACTTTGTGAATTGCTGCCTTCAGCTCTTGCTACCGTACAATTGCATTAATGTTAGGGTTAAGATAATTAACTGTTTCAGATTCATGTTTAGTTCTTTTTTTCTTTTTCACTTCCAATATTATTACAGAATTATGGAATTGTTGTAGCTCAGACTGTGTTACAGTCGTTCGGTGAATTTATGGTGAGGTTAGACAGTCAGGATCTGGTGATTAATTGGCAACACAGAGCAGCATGACCCTGCAGTGAGCAGTTTGCAACAGGAGCAGTCAGACAAAGGCTGATTTATGTTTGTACCCTTCCCTAGCCATGGAGTAGTGTGTGTGAGGTTATCCACTTTGGTGGCAAAAACAGGAAGGCAGATTATTATCTGAATGGTGGCTGTTTAGGAAAAGGTGAGGTGCAACAAGACTTGGGTATCATGGTGGAGTAGTCGCTGAAGGTTGGCATGCAGATGCAGTAGGCGGTGAGGAAAGTGAATGGCATGCTGGCCTTCATAGCGAGAGGATTTGAGTACAGGAGTAGGGATGTCTTGCTGCAGTCATGCAGGGCCTTGGTGACACCATTCCTTGGAGTATTGTGTGCAGTTTTGATCTCCTTGTCTGAGGAAGGACATTCTTGCTATTGAGGGAGTCCTGCGAGGGTACACCAGATTGATTCTCGGGATAGTAGGACCAACATATGAAGAAAGACTGGATCAAATGGACTTGTACTAATTTAGAAGAATGAGGAGGGATCTCAGAGAAACATATAAAATCCTGATGGGATTGGACAGGCTAGATGTGGGAACAATGTTCCTGATATTGTAGGAGTCCAGAACTAGGATTCACAGTCTAGGAATAAGGGGTAAGCCATTCAGAACTGAGATGAGGAAGAATTTCTTCACACAGAGAGTTGTGAACCTGTGGGATTCTCTCCCCTGTGAAGCTGTGGGAGCCAGTTCGTTAGATATATTCAAGAGGGAGCTGGGCGTGGCCCTTGTGGCAAAAGGGATCAACGGGTATGGAGAGAAAGCGGGAATAGCATACCGAAATTGCTTGATCAGCCATGATCATATGGAATGGTGGCGAAGACTTGAAGGGCTGAATGGCCTACACCTACATCTATTTTCTATGTTTCTAAATTGGCAGCAGTGGAGTGAGGGATTGCAATGATAGTGGAAAAGGGAATTGTGAAAATGCTGTGAAAAGGATTATCATCAAATCAGCCCTTAAACACTCAATCATCCCTCCGAAATCAGGGAAACCCTGGTTTGGGACTGACGACTATAGCGTAAGGCTTATCCAAAAGAAGGTAGCAAATGCATCGAGAAACATAGTTAGAAACTTGCAGAGGCAAAGTTGAGACATCAGAGGGAGTGCACAAATCTCACAAACAAGCCTTCTGTCCAATCGTCAACCAGTATCAGTCCCACATATGGCACAGTCTGCAGGAAACGCCTCACCAACTCCCCACCTATTAAGCTCATAATTCCCAATCATGAGACACTGGCTAAGCCGAAGAAGAAATTTGGTAGTGGTTTAGAGCTGTATTCTGTTGATAGTGAGATAGGTGTTTAACATTGGCTGAAATTAATAAGGTAATGGATTTGGGTATTGTACTGGCTCAGTGACGGAGCTCGGTATTGTACTGGCTCAGCGATGGAGCTCGGTATTGTACTGGCTCAGCGATGGAGCTTGGTATTGTACTGGTTCAGTGATGGAGCTCGGTATTGTACTGACTCAGCGATGGATCTCGGCATTGTACTGTTAGTGATGGATCTCGGTATTGTACTGGTTCAGTGATGGAGCTCGGTATTGTACTGGCTCAGCGATGGAACTCGGTATTGTACTGGTTAGCGATGGAGCTCAGTATTGTACTGGTTCACTAATGAAGCTCGGTATTGTACTGGCTCAGCAATGGAGCTCACTTTAATAATAGCTCAGTGATAGAACTCGGCATGGTTACATTCTGTCTTGTTGGAGATGGCCATTGCCTGACACTTCTCTGGCTTGAGAAGCCACATTGTTTGCCACTTACCAGTGCAATCCTGGAACTAGTCCTGGACCTGCTGTATTTGAACATGGACTGCTTCAGTGTTTGAGGAATCGTGGATAGTGCTGAACATTGTGCAATCATTGGTGAACAGCCCCACCTCTGACTTTGTGATGGAGGGAAAGTCATTGATGAAACAGCTGAAGATGGCTGAGCCTACCCTGAGGAAGTCCTGCAGAGATGTCCTGAGGCTGAGATAACTGATCTCCAGTAACCATAACCATCTTTCTCTGTGCGGAGTGTGACTTCAGGTTCAAGAGGTCAAATAGCCTATTTCTGCACCTAATTTGTACGTTTGTATGTCCTGCACTGGAAAACCAGTGTTTGGATTTTCAATCCAATTTTCTCTTGCCCTGCCTGACCTGTCTTTTCTGTTGCTGTTGCTGGGTGCATTCTGTTTCAGAATTAGAGAGTCCTGAAATGCAGCAGTATGCATGGGCTAACACTCCAGTGGAGCATTGTCAGAGGTGCTGCCTTTTCAAAGGAAATCTAAATTGAGACTTGGTTTTCCCTCTTCAGTGCATTTAAAAGATCACATGATGCTATATCGTAGAAGTGGTGGTGTCTTGACCAACATGTATTTCCCATACGTTATCATAAAAACAACTTACCTGGTTATCAACAGATACAAAATCAAAATACTGTGGATGCTGGAAATTTAGAATTATAACAAGGAGAGCTGGAGAATCTCAGAAGATCTGACAGCATCTGGAGAGAAACTCTAAACATTTTGTGTCAATGGCCTTTCATTAGACCATGGACCGGAAACATTAACTCTGTATCTCTCCACACATCCTGCCTGATTTGCCAGGTTTTTCCTTTGTTCTTTATCTGGTTAATATCTCACCGCTGTTAGTGGAGCCTTGCTGTGCTCAAGTGGTTTAAGATGGGAGGGGAAAGCTGCAAAAGGGACCTACAGGGCAAATTTTTCACGCAGAGGATGGCGCATGTATGCCATTTAAGAGGATCTGGGTGGGTACATGAATAGGAAGGGTTTAGAGGGATATGGGCCAAATGCTCGCAAATGGGACAAGATTAAGTTAGAAAATCTGGTAGGCATGGATAGGTTGGACTGAAGGGTCTGTTTCCGTGCTGTGCCTCTCTATGGTTGTGCTGTGTTTTCCACATTGCAGTGTTCAGTGAAATCGTATTATTGCTGTTACAGTTCAAAAGGTACTTCAGTGATGGTAAAGCACATTGGGATGTCCAGTGTTCGTGAATGTTGATGAATAAATGAACACTATAGTAAAGTAACACTCTGCTTCTAAATGTTGATGTCATAAATAAGATGGGGAGAATTTCAGTATGGTGACTGGAACAGGATAAGTGGTTCTTGAATGAAAAATCAGGTGTGTTAACAGTTTTATTGCTGTGTATACTGAAGGATTTATTGGTTCTGCCTTATTCACTCTGACCTCCTGAACAGGTGTCTCAATCTAAAGCCTTGCTGTTTTTTGTTGTTAGACGTGGATTGATGGTGGATTAACAAATAGACTTCCGATCTTACCCACTGGACAGACCATGACTGTTTCACCTTTCAGTGGGAAATTGGATATTTGCCCTCAAGACAAGTCCCAAAGCAATCTGTATGTCACGATTGCTAAGCAGGAGTTTATAGTAAGTGCTTTTCAAAGTGAGTTTGCTGGTCAAACACTTTTTAAAAAAAAAAAAAAATTTCCTTATGTCAAAGACGCTGATTTAAATATTTTCCATGGTTCGAATGCCTGCACCGTAACAGTGTGGTTTTGCAAAGGTCATTGACACCAGAATGTTTTTTGGGTTGATGATGCATTTATTGACCTGAATCTAAAATTAGACCTCTTTTTGTATTTACTCACAGGATGTGGGCGTCTCTGTCTAGGTCAGCATTTATTGCCCAGAGGGCAGTTAAGACTCAACTGCATAACTGTGGGTCTGGAGTCACGTGTAGCCCAGACCAAGCAAGGATGGCAGTTTCCTTTCCTAAAGAGTATGTGCATGTGCATAGATCACTGAAAGTTGCCACCCAGGTTGATAGCGTTGTTAAGAAGGCGTACAGTATGTTAGGTTTTATTGGTAGAGGGATTGAGTTTCGGAGCCATGAGGTCATGTTGCAGCTGTACAAAACTCTGGTGCGGCCGCACTTGGAGTATTGCGTACAGTTCTGGTCACCGCATTATAGGAAGGATGTGGAAGCATTGGAAAGGGTGCAGAGGAGATTTACCAGGATGTTGCCTGGTATGGAGGGAAGGTCTTATGAGGAAAGGCTGAGGGTTTTGAGGCTGTTTTTGTTAAGAGGTGACTTGATAGAGACATACAAGATGATCAGAGGATTAGATAGGGTGGACAGTGGGAGCCTTTTTCCTCGGATGGTGATGGCTAGCACGAGGGGACATAGCTTTAAATTGAGGGGTGATAGATATAGGACAGATGTCAGAGGTAGGTTCTTTACTCAGAGAGTAGTAAGGGCGTGGAATGCCCTGCCTGCAAAAATAGTAGACTCGCCCACTTTAAGGGCATTTAAATGGTCATTGGATAAACATATGGATGATAATGGAATAGTTTAGGTTAGATGGGCTTCAGATTGGTTTCACAGGTCGGCGCAACATCGAGGGCCGAAGGGCCTATACTGCGCTGTAATGTTCTATGTTCTATGTTCTATTAGGGAACCAGATGGGTTTGTCCAACAATGGATTCATGGCCATCATTAGACCCTTAATTCCAGATTCTTTATTGAATTCGGGTCCCCAGAATATTAGCTGAGTTTTTGGATTAATAGACTAGTGATAATACCACTAGGCCGTTGCTGTTCTGCTTGACACTATGTCAAAGCAAAGTGATCAATGTGGAGGATGAAGCTTTGCTCTGCTTTCCTCCAAATCTGGATTGGCGTTAATAACTCCGTTTATTCTCACACGCCTTGGCAAGTGAGGAATATAAATTGATCTGAAGACAGGCATGTGTAGTGGTTGTAATGAGGTCAGCCAGGTGGACCTGTTGAATATGAGTTCGCTGATTCGGACTGTTAATCTGGTCCAATCAGGGAGCCCTGGCTGACATAAAAGGGTGAATGTTAGGGATACTGAGTGCCTGGAATGCGTGACTCGATGAGATGCAGTGCTATTGTCAAAGGCTGTGTATTTGTAAATAAAGGATGTTTGGTGATGGGGTGCTGGCCTCCAAAAAGTTATTTCAGCATAACGGGGTTAATTCCAGGGCCTCAGTGACTGGTTCCTAGAGGAAGCCTGAAAGATGTCCAACTGCCTAAATCAAACTATGAGGACAACATATTGGGTCTAAGACCTGTTTTTTGGTACCTTTATTAAATGGTTGACAGGGTGGTGAAGAAGGCATTGGGCACGCATGCCTTCATCATTCAGAGCATTGAGCACAGGAGTTGGGAATTCCTATTACAGCTGTAAAAAACATTGGGTAAGGCCCCATTTGGAGTACTGTGGCATGGTGGCTCAGTGGCGAGCACTGCTGCCTCACAGGCCAGGAACCTGGATTCAACTCCAGCCTTAGGTGACTGTCTGTGTGGAGTTTGCACATTCTCCCTGTGTCTGCGTGGGTTTCCTCCCACGGTCCAAAGATGTGCAGGTTAGGTGGATTGGCCATGGGAAATTGACTGTAGTATCCAGGGGTGTGTATGCTATGTGCATTAGCCATGGGAAAAGGCTAATTGAGGCTGTTACTAAGTTTTACCATCCCTGCATGTATGGTGGATGCAGGGTTACAGGAATAGAGTAGGGTGGGATGGGTCTGGGTGGGATGTTCTTTGGACGGTCAGTGCAGACTCGATGGGCCAAATGGGCAGCTTCCACACTGCAGGGATTCTGTGATATCCTTCTATGAATTCTGTTTGCCCTGTTTTATAGGAAGGATGTTAATAAACTGGAAAGGGTCTTACTGAGACAACAAGGTGCAGGGCTGGATGAACACAGCAGGCCAGGCAGCATCATAGGAGCAGAAAGGCTGATGTTTCGGGTTTCTGATGAAGGTTCTAGGCCCGAGACGTCAGCCTTTCTGCTCCTATGATGCTGCTTGGCCTGCTGTGTTCATCCAGCCCTGCACCTTGTTGTCTCGGATTCTCCAGCATCTGCAGTTCCTGCTATCTCTGGGTCTTACTGAGACTGGAAGGTTTGAGTTATGAGGAAAGGCTGGATAGGCTGGGACTTTTTTGCCTGTAGTTTGGGACGCTGGGGGCGGGGTGACCATATAGAGGTTTATAAAATCATGAGGAGCATAGATAAGGTGAATAGCCAAGGCCTTTTCCCCAGGCTAGGTGAGTCCAAAACTAGAGGGCTTAGATTTAAGGTGAAAGGGGAAAGATTTAAAAGGGAGCTGAGGGGTAACTTTTTTTATACACAGGGTGGTGTGCAAATGGAACAAGTTGTCAGAGGATGTGCTAGAGGTAGGTTCAGTTAAAAGACATTTGGACAGGTACATGGATAGGAGAGATTTACAAGAATATGGACCAAATACAGGCAAATGGGACTCGTTCAGTTTAGGAAATCTGGTCAGCATAAATGAGTTGGGCCAAAGGGTTTGTTTCTGTGCTGTGTGATGCTATGACTGTAATTGGAGTCAGTCATTTTTAACTTAGATGAGGAGATATTTCTTCTCTCAAGGTTATGAATCTTTGAGGCTGTCCACTCCCACAGAACTGTAGGTTATTAGATACGAATGGATGTGGAGATTTGAGGTAGATCAGCTAAGGTCTATTTGGCTCAACAGGCTTGAGGGACCATAAGGCCTACTCCTGTTCCTGTTATGCAGCAAGCAAGTGTGAAAAATTGAAACTTCTGGAGTTCTTGACTACATTTGATTGTCCTGATTACTCAACCCAGAAACCACTTCAATTTAAACCTCAGGCCTAGGCTACACCATCAGAAGTAATTCATTAAGGCTGTTTTGACAGCAACTTCCAAACCCACAAATTCTACCTCAAGGAACATTAAGTGCACAGATGTACAGGAACAGATGTTCCACTGTCTGCAAATTCCCATCCAAGTCACACGCCATTCTGATTCGGAACTGTATTGCTGCTCCTTCTGTGTTCCTGAGTCAAAATCCTGGAACTCCCTTCCCAAAACCGCTATGTGTGGGACCTATCACCCATGGACTGCAATGGTTCAAGAATACAACTCACTTATCACCTTCTCAAGAACAGTTAGTGATGGGCAATAAATTGCTTGACTAGACAGTGACACCCACATGCTAGAGAGGCGATGGCCTAATGGTATTATGGTAGACAATTAATTCAGAGACCCAGGTAATGTTCCAGGGTCCTGGGTCTGAATCCTGCCACGGCACATGAAGGAATTCCATAACCACAGCGACATGGTTGACTCTTATCTGCCCTCTGGGGCAGTTAGGGATGGGCTGTAAATGTTAGCCCAGCTAGCGATGCCCACATTCCATGAATGAATAGAAACCCTGCACCAACTCTAATATTTTTATCATCAAAGGAAAGGTAAAATTCTGAGGAGGATGCAGGAAAGAGGGATCCAGGTGTCTGTGTTAAAGTTGGCAGGCCCGTTTTGAGGGAGTAGTTAATAAGGCATGCAGCATCTGAGACTTTATTAATGGGGCACAGGGTACTACCAAGGGCCTTGGATCAAGCTTGTTAAGCCATTTGTTCAGCCTCAACTGGAGCATTTCATCCAGTTCTGGGAAGGATGTAAATTACAGGCATTCGAGAGGGATCAGAAAAGATTCCTGAGAATTGTTCCAGGGATGAGGAATTTCAGTTGTGTTGAAGGATTGGATGAAGTTGGGACTGTTTTCTCTGGAGATGAGGAGGTTGGGAGGAGATTTGACAGAGGCATTTAAAACCATATAGGGTGCAAACAGAGTTGATATTGTAGAAAGATTGAGAACCGGGGGCAAAGATATAAGGGATTGACTAAAAAAAAAACAAAGGCAAAATGAAGAAAATCTTTTGCGAGTGGTTAGGATCTGGAATGCCCTGTGTGAGAGTGTAGTGAGGGTAGGCTCACTCAAGGCTTTCAGAACAGAGTTGGATCCTATCTGAAAGAGAAAAATGTACAGTGCTGGAGGTAAAGGGCAGGGCAGAGGCACTAGGTGAACTGCATCTTCAGAGGGCCAGCATGCTCACAACAGGCCAAATGGCCTCCTTCAGTGCTGTAACTGATTTATGAGTCTATGATTTTCTTTCTATGATCATTGGCTGACTGCAAATATTCTATCTATTGCTGGTAACCCTTTGATTGTGTCGGGGCTGTTTATTTTAATATGCAGGTCATCAATTCACTGGGACAATACTGCATTTGACACCGTGTACAGTCTTAATAATTTTTTTGTTTCTTCCTTTCTTTCACACTGCCCTCCCTTATTCCAACAATAGCTGTCCATTGCGAATTTTGTGAGACTCAGTCAGGCACTGTTTCCACCAGGCCAAGCTACGATGGAATCTCTGTACCACAAAGGATTCAGCGACGCTTTGAGGTTTCTACAGAGTAAAAACAATTTTCAGCCATTGTCTTGATGTTACCTGTCTGATTACTGTGTGGTAAATTGATAAAAGTAGGATATTAAGACTGAATAAGTTAAAGTCTTGTTTTGATTGGATGCAGCTTTGAGGACTTGTTTTGAGTTTTGGAGACCATATTTTTATTATTAACTCTTCCATTGTTTGTAGGTGTCACTGGCAAGGCCAGCGTTTGTTGCCCATCCCTAATTGCCCCTAAGCTGAGTGGCTTGTTCCGCCATTTCGGACAGCAGTTAAGAGTCAGCCACATTGCTGTGGGTCTGGAGTCACATGGAAGCCTGGCCAAGCATTGGTGCATTGTCACCCGTGCCACTGAAGTGCCCTCAATATGTTTTCTTCTTCTTCTCCCTCCTGTGTATTCCCTGATTCTGTAGCTGGGGAGGAGGGAACCTGCTCAGCACTGGAACCCAGCGGCCCTGGAGGTTTGGTCAGGCGACCCCTGGGTGTTTGTTCTGCACGGCCCACTCATGCCAGGGGGTCTTCTTGCCAGGTACAGGTGGACTTTCCTCAGCACGAGCAGAAGGGTCGTGCAAAAGGAGAGATGACAGGCTCAACCACCTCAGGAGTGTCCTGATGATAACCTCCGAGAAGCTTAGGTGTGGTTCCTCCTCTGGCTATGAGCCCCCCCCTGCCAGCACTGCCCTTTCTCCTTGTGAGGAGAGGCCACCTGCACTGCTCACCAGCCTCCCCATCATCCTGTCACCATGCCTCGGGTGCTGAGGGCCACTGGCTGAGCCAATATGTGTTCCTCTCCAGCAGAGTGACAGCCACCAACGTGCTCATGGTGGGTAGCTGGACAGTTCAGTGGCTTGCTGCACTGCCGCAGCCTGTGGGCAAGGGGGGCTATTGCCTCCCACCTGCCAGTCTGCTGCTCGTGTTCCTCCCTGTGCATCTAGATAGAGTCCCTGCTTGTCCATAGCACAGGGTCCTGTCCTGCCCAGGGATGAGCAGGAGATGGTCTTGGGCAGTCCTCAGGGTTGGGGTGTTTCTTCCACAACTGGCTGCAGAGGCAGCTTTACCACTGCTTCCTCTGAGGCCTTGGTACTCTTGTCCTCAGAGATCAAGGAGGTGGCTTCCAAAGGAGCTGGCTATTTCACAACGGAGGCAGTAGAGATGCTGGCTGCATCTGCAGGACGAAAGAGAGGGAGGGCATTGTGACCAGTGGTTGGAAGAGAACAACACTGAGAGTGGCGTTCCTGTGAGAGTTGAGTGAATGAGGAGTTATAGTCACTGAGCTGGTGGGACATGGATATTTCTTTTCCTCACAGGAGCTTCTCCTGTAAGGTCCTGGACTCTCTCCTTTTCAGAGGGTGAGAAACCTAATGCCTGGTGCTCCCCCAGCCTTCCTGACCTGCTCTGGGCTTTGTTTCTCCTCTGATGAGAGGGAGGGTCGGATTGAGTGAATGGAAAGTGGGTGGCACAGCTGTTAGTGCTGGCGCAGGAGAGCGAAAAGTGTTTTGAGGGAGTGAGGAGGCAGCACGTCAGTTTGGGGAATCCGGGAGATTTGGGGGGGGGCGGTGGGTGTTGAGAGCGACTGAGGCAAGAGGCAGTAGTGAGTGTGGTAGCCCTTAGTGGAAAGTGGGGCAGTAGCAGAGACAGAGTGAGTGCGAGGTGGCAGAGAGAAGACTGTGGCAGAGAGTCAGTGTGGTGCAGCAGAGAGGGTTGAGCTGTTGGTCTTGACCACGGAGATGGCGCTGACTGTAGAACAGGCCGCTGGGCTCTGGTGTTGTGGCCTCCTCTGCTGGTCCTCCAGGAAGAGGACTCCACTGCCTTGTACCACCTCCTTGAATAGAACCAGCAGGCCCCTGTCAGAAATAGCAATGCCATCTTCCCCTTCTTCGACACCTTCTGGAAAAATCCTAGACCGAGCAGGGCAGCTTCGTAATGCCAGCGTTGATCTAGGTGCACAGTATCCATTTAAAATGTTGCAGACCTGAGGGATGCTGGTCTTCCATGGATATTTGCTGATTGGCGAGTTCAGGGAACAGAGGGTGGTGAGTTAGAGATAGAATCCGACCTGACATATACCCTAGGGGTAAAGTAGGTAGTTAGTGAGATAAGATACAGCATTGAAGATCTTTAGGCCCCGTGGCAAGAAAACCCTCCAAAGAACTTGATGTATCTTGCATTTAGCCAAAAAATCCCGGAAGATTCAACCCATAGTAGCTGTTCGAATGTATTTTTTCTAAAATGCTCCTGACATTGCCATTGTGCACATATTTTAAAATTAGCAAGGAAAACAGAGACATTTAGTGATGTCAGCAGTCTTACTGAGTTCCAACCATGAATGAAAATGCAGGTATTCAAATGCTGCTGCACATTTTCAGTGTCAGATTTTAAGCTGATCTAGTCACGTTCTACTTTAGAGCAATGTGCTTTTATCTCTAGGATCTGTGCTGCGATTTAGCCAGACACTCAGATAAAAGAGTCCAGTTTGGCTACAAGGATTAAACATTTGACCACAACTGATCAGTGTTAACCCAGTTCATAGTGGGCATAAGCCCAAGCACATAAAAAGGGCCATTGGAAATGGCCCAGAGGAAATGGGAAATATCATGCTTTTCTGAGGTTAAATTCATTGTATATTGTTGGGATTGGAGCACAGAGGAGACTGAGCTGAGGTAGATTTTTAGCTTGCAGGCTGGGTGTAAAACTGGAGTAGCGGATTGTCCTTTTGCCACTTGTATTCATTCGTGGGGTGTGATCCTCACTGGTGTGGAGAGCATTTATTGCCCACACCTAATCCACTGAATAACTTGCTGAATATCTTGCTCAGCCATTTCAGAATGCCCTAAAGAGTTCAAGGTCAGAAATCACATGACGCCAGGTTATAGTCCAAGAGGTTTATTTGAAAGCACAAGCTTTTGGAATGCTGCTCCTTCGTCAGGTGAAGAGTCAGTCGTCCAGGAAGAGGACTGCACTGCCTTGTACCACCCCCTCGAATAGAACCAGCAGGCCTCTGTCAGAAATAGCAATGCCATCTTCCCCTTCTTCGACATTGCTGTAGGTCTGGATTCTCATGAAGAACAGACCAGGTAGATTTCCTTCTCTAAAGGCCGTTGATGAACCACATAGGTATTTATAGCAACAGACAATGTTCCAATGTTGACATCCACTAGCTTTTCATTCCAGGTTTTTTTAAATCTTATCAAATTCAAATTTATACTTCAATTTGAACCCACGTCCCCAGAACATTAGTCTGGAGTTCTGAATTGCTAGTCCCATGTCATTATGCAACTGCCCCATCTTATCTCCATTCATTATAGAAACATCCCACAGGAATCTTCCAATACCATGTACTTGGCGGGCGAGAAATGGGTTAGTTTTCATATTAAATAAGGAAGCTGGTGTTATTGGAGATAGTAGGAACTGCAGATGCTGGAGAATCCGAGACAACAAGGTGCAGGGCTGGATGAACGCAGCAGGCCTAGGAGCAGCTGGTGTTGTTGTTGGATGAGATGGGCCTGTTCCATAACAGCTGTTTTAAACCTGGGCAGCAAATTGAAAATGTAAGATCATCGACTCTAACCTGTGCTATAGTGTGTACATGATGTTAACCGTGGCTGAGCTCTCGGGCACTGACAGGCCCTGTTGACTCCCCAATAAAATATTCAATAGCAACAGAACTGGCATTACTGTTGTTTTGGTCATTGATAAATCATTGAATTCAGTGTTAATCTCTAATTACAAAGTCATTAATGGCCGCAAACTCAAAAGATAAGCAAGACAAGCTACAACTATAAGGTTTTGGATGTGTTTGGAAATTGGGCAGACAGGTGGAAGGGAATATTGGTGGTTCTTCTTGTGTTCCGTGCCTGACTACAGCACTATGGTCTCCACCACGGTTAGTGCAAGGAGGCAGATCCCAAATTCCCCTTGGCCGAAACAAAGGTCAGGGCCATTGCTGTTGGCACAGATCCAAGTGACATTGGCCGTCCAAGTAAACTGATACCCACACCCTACAACGCAGCCCGAGGTGCTGTAGTAGCGTGCCCTTTGCATGTACATCGTTGAATGGATCTGCGAATGGTGATAGTAGAGGCTCCAGTTTTCTTTCCGTCAATGGGCTAAATACAGTACTCCAAATGTGGTCTAACTAAAATTTTACACAACTGCAATATGACTTGCCAACTTTTATACTTAAATCCCCAATCATTGAAGGCAAACATGCCGTATGCTATTTTTTTTACCAACTTGTCCACTTGTGTTTGCCACTTTCAGGGAGCTATGCACTTGCACCCCAATATTCCTCTGTATGTCTGTGCTCCTAAGGATCCTGCCTTTACTGTATATTTTCATCTTGCATTTGACCTCCCAAAATGCATTGTTTCACATTTTTCTGGACTAAACTTCATCTGCCATTTCTCCACCCAAATTTCTCCACCAGGTCGGCATGGTGGCTCAGTGGTCAGCACTGCTTCCTCACAGCGCCAAGAACCCAGGTTTGATTCCAGCTTTGCGTGAGTGTGTGGAGTTTGCACATTCTCACTGTGTCTGTGCGGGTTTCCTCCCACAGTCCAAAGATGTGCAGGCTAGTTAGATTGGCCATGCTAAACGTGGGGTTAAAGGGATAGGGTGGTGTTTGGGTCTACGTGGGATGTTCTTCAGAGGTTGGTGCAGACTCGATGGGCTGAATGGCCTCTTTCTGCACTTTCGGATTCTGTGCTTTTAACTTTCCAACTGATCTCTCTACTGCTGTATCCTTTGACAACCTTCCTCACTATTCACAATTCCATTAATTTTTATGTTATCTGCAAACTTATTAATCCTACTGGCCTTTTTAAACAATGGAACAGCATTGGCTATTCTCTAATCTTCTGGAACCTCACCTGTGGCCAAAGAGGATACAAAGATCTCTGTCAAGGCCTCAGCAATCTCCTTTGTCTCCCTCAGTATCCTGGGATAGATCCCATCAAGCCTTGTGGTCTTATCTACCCAGCCTTGGGTGGCTGTATGATGTTTGCACATTCTCCCCATCTCTGCATAGATTTCTGCCAGGTGCTCCAGAGATGTGCAGGTTAGGGTGGATTGGCCATGCTAAATTGCCCATAGTG